AACCTAAGTGTAGCTGAATTGTATTTTAAGTCCAGCTAAGCAACTTAAGTTCAAGCATTTTGGTACAGATTGTTCTGATGTCTGTAGAGCATCTCAAGTGGCACATCCAGGAAGGGAGCTCACTTTAGTTCACGTTGCGACCTCTCTGTGCCGTGCAGTTGGGGATGGGGTAGGTGGGACACCCTGTCCCTTCCCCTACAGCGAGGTTCCACAGGGTGTGGATCTCCTGACCCACCCCATGCTGCTCCTGGTCCTGCTGGGGATGTGACAGCTGAATATTGCAGTGAAGTGTTGATGGCTGGATAGTGTCCCCAAGAGATGGCAGCCTGCCAACAGGTTCTAAAATAAGACCTTTGTAGCCTTTGCCACGCACTTTGGGCTCCCTCTGGGAATTTTCACTGGAAAAGGACAAAATAATAGTGATCATGGTTATGACAAATGGGACTTCAATACCTGCTGGTGGTCTTAATAAAACTGTTTTTCTCTGGGAGTTTTACAGAATGTTTGCAGTTTATCTGCATAGCATGAAAACTAAATAGAGGTAATAATGTTGAACACAAGTCAACTGAAAATTTTAAATGAGCAATTAGATGAAGTTGAAATTTTTAAAAATCTCCATGGAATATGAAAAGAGTAACAAAAAAAAGCTTTTACCTAAAAGGATATAAGAAAATACAAGCTGTTTTGGAATTTATAAACAAGACCTTGGAAGATTGCTCTAATAAATTCAGGAATAGAAGAGGACTAATGGGCAAAAAATACAAAAAACCACAATGAAAACTGAAGCTGTCTTGGATTCTTTGATGTACATATAATACATCTTATAAAAAAGCATGGTTTTAAATAAAATAAATATATCATATATATATATATATATAAATAGATATTCCAATAAATATTCTCTAGAAAACTCTAAAGCATGCATTTATTGAGTAACATCTCAGGTAGGATGACATTTGTTAATGATTAGTGAAAACAATCTTAAGTTTAAAAGTCATCTTTACCAATGCATATAAAAAAAAAGAGATAACTGGTAAAGATGTATACAATGACTTCATCTCTGTCTGGAAATATGTTTTTTTGTTTTAGATGCTTACTGCAAATGAACAAAAATATTCTAATGAAGTGAAATTACATGATGGGTAAACTGAATCCCTGATGTAAAGATCTCCTTTGAGTTCTTGACTATGGGACTGATGTTTGTGGGCTGAAATTATTCCTGCAGACGTTGGAAATTTAGGAGAATCCCGATTTTCATGCAGAATTCAGTTCAGCTGTAATTACATTAAATGCCGCATATTGTATGTACATGCATTTCTACATGGTTTTAAAAAATAATGTAGCATATACTTTGTACAAGTGAACATTTACTTAAGAATATGTAGTAATGTGAACATGACACACTGATTTGTGTGGCAGCATGAAATTACTTTTATGCTACCGTATTTTATGTCTGCTGAATCAAAGAAATTTATAACAGCTCAAGGGATTTTCATCTGACAGGGGTGCTTTCCTGTTCATGCTCTTAAATAGTAACATATTTTAAATAAATATTGTGTGAGATTCTTTTTTAATCTTTTTGAGAGTAGTTGAATGATAAAAGCTGGACCATGAAAGGTAGTTTCATGTTATTTTAGAGTACTTATTACTTCTGAAGTACTTTTTTTAAAAAGGAAATTATAAAAGTTAATTTGAATGAAAAACATTGAAAGAAAAAAGGAGAACAGTATACATACCGCATTTGCAATAATAATTTGTTCAGAGCATGTTTTGCTTGCCTGAAAAAGGATTTGTCTAATTACTGAAAAATAACCTTCTAAATCTGTGATTTTAACCTTTGCATAATGAAAGGTAATAGACCATATAAAGATCTGGTATAGCAGTTTTCATATTCCTTTTTCACAGTTACATTTTGCATTTTGGTTACAAGTGGCTCAGGAACAAAGGTTTCTTTCACTTTTCAGAAGTGCATGTACACAGCTGCATGCTGTTGATTTGACATAAGTTTTAGCACTTCTAGAACTTGCTAGAAAGCTACTGAGAAAAAAAAAGTTGGAAGTGGAAGTATATAATAGCATCCCCAGACTAAAACCATGCTTCAGTGCATTCTCCTTTCTGGAGCTTTTGTCCTGAAAGGCCAAACAAGAATTACTGGCAACACTAGACACTGAGCAGTCCCTGCAGCACACAGAGGATGTGGATGTGTAAGCACAGTCTTTCACACTGGATCACAGCTTCTGGCAGCAGTGAGGAAATTAAATGCAATCTCTTTCGGTTTCAATTTTGTCTTATCTGTTGTGCATTGCAAAAGACTTTGGGTGACTGTCCCAAAGGACTGCCCCAGTCCTTATCTCACAGGGAGATAGGAAGCAATTGCACAGGATAAGCCAGACTGTTTGCTCAACAGCACAGAGAGCTTTACCTGGAATTATGCCTTGTGCACATGGAATGACTTTTTCCCTGTGCTCACCTCCTGAAGGTGATACTTTGCCAGCTGCCCACATCACAGCACTCCAGAGTCTTAGAGCAGCAGTGGGAAATGATGTGCAGGCACAGTGGGCACCCACAGTGAGGGGGAGCCAGCTGGGGGAGGCATCCCTGGGGAGATGGGGGTTCCCAGGCCTCGCTGCCTCCTCAGCTGTGCCACCCTCTCCCTTTTGTGACTGTCCCCCTTGCCAGAGAGGGCAGGAAAGGCAAGGGCTCACTGTGTTAGCATCCCTTGCAAAGCTGGAAAAGCCATGACTGGTACATAAACCCAGGCACCAGGAACCAGCCCGCTGGGTAGGGAAGAGCTTGTTTTCATATTTCTCCATATCTCTCTACCATAGGACATTCCATCAGCTTTCTTTGCTGTGATTTCCTTTTCCTTTTTATCATATTTTTTTTATTTGTCCAGCTGTTCCACTTTTTGAACCCATGATGTTTCTGAAGTCAAAATAACAAGTGTGAGATAAAATAGGTTTGCCTAATCTAGAATATATTCAAGGTGATGAAAGGTTTGGGATTTGTTTTCAAGATGTTCATTATAGGAATTGGCTCTTGTGTTGGAAAGCCATGTTGTTTTAGTGGTTTCGGTCTCCAGAGCTAGAGAAAAACAGCTTATTTTTTTCTCTTCAAGGGCAGTGGAACTCAATCACGTCCTCCAAAACTGCAGATAACAGAAGGTGATATTTGGCAATGGAGTACTCATGTTCTAAAAATCTTTCAGCCCTCAGGAAAATTCATGTGTCATGTGAGGAGAATTTTTCAAATTTTATCTTGTTGTTGTGAAGTATTTGACATAGATGACCAGAAAGGCACATATTTTTTAATAACAAAATGTAACCATGTGTTGTTAAAAGTGGCCTGTCTGCACTCCAGTGAGCTGGAAGGTGAAAAATTAAGACCTTGTACTGTGACTATGGAAGACACTTCTAGGTTCTAAATGGGAGAAAAAGCAAGCATGTGTCCCCTCTGTCCCTTTCAAACCATATTAAAATTCCTGGATTTGTCTAGACTTTTGCTCTGTAAACCCCACGATTCATACATTTTCAGGTGGGTCCGTTTGCAAGAAGCAAAGCTCTCTCCATGCAGCTAAAAACGAGTCCCTGGTCAGAAGAGTGGTGGTCACTTGCACAAAACCCAAGGTGTCTTGCCCACAGGTTGCTCACAGCCCTTTGTTTTGGTTCTGTAAAAAGTGTCCCACCAGCAGCACTGTTTAGCTGCACAGCTATATTGTAAAGCAGTACAAGCTGTTTTGTGCAGTTGGGCTTCCAGCACATTTTCAGGCTCACAAGGTTGGGGATGAATACTTAACTGCTGCACATGCAGAAAATGACAATGAATTTTTGCATGTTTGTTTCTACAGTTTTGGTCTTTAATTCAGACCAGATAGAATGTTCTTTGCCTGAACATTCTCACCCTAGTTCTAGCTCTCAGGAAACAAAGGGCAGTTTCAGCACTGAGTACACAGGGCTTATAGACCATGGCTGGCTGTGCAGCCATTTCGGGAGTGGTAACCATAGCTGTGAATGTGTTAGTTATGAAACTGTTACCTTTTATACTTCCCAGCAGCAAATTCACTGATTGTTCCCAGAGACCTCCTGAGAAACAAGTTGCCAAGTAACTTACGATTTAGCTCCAATATGCAAAAAAGCAACTTTCAACTTTTGTTTTTTCTGCTTTTTTGCTTCTTTAATCTTTAACTGAAGGTGTTTCAGCAGTTGTCCTATATGGCATTCCTCTGACATTGCCTCAGGTGCCTTTTTTTCCTTGAGTGGAAATAAGGAGCCATGATTTCCATCCAGCATGTACCTTACTAAACCTGTAGCTCTCTGAGGACTGGGCAGTTTTGTCCTGGTGATTGACCATGTAATTGTGCTTCTGATCAGCTCAGTTTCACCCATGTTAACAGGCTGCTAGAGCCCTGGCTGGGCAAGGGGAGAGGTCTTTCCCCCCAGAGCCATCCCCTGGAGGGGTCTGGCTGGACCCTGGGGTCAGGTCAGGCAGCCTCATGCTCCTGCAGCTGGAGTCCCACCTGTGTGTGGCCACAGGGCTTTGCTGGGCAAAGTGGGCTGACAAACTGTAATTTAATACAGTCATACAAATCTTCAGGCTGCAAGGGACCTTAAAGTTCATCTGGTCCCAACCCTCCTGCCATGGGCATGGAACCTGTGGAACCCATTTTCCAGATGGAGATAGGATTGTTCTCATGTGATCGATCTTCTTCTAGTAACTGCTACCAAAGACTCTGTGATGTGGAGAATCTACTCATTTCTCTCAATCTATTTTCAGTAAAAAAAAACCAAACAGGATGGGAAATATATCCTGGCAAGGTTTCTGGCATATCTGGTTCCATGATTCAGCATTTCATAAATAAGTAGTTATTTACATCTGCTTTTTCCTTTGTAAACAATACTGATGTTTTACTAGCAATGGCAATCTATCTTTTTTTCTGTTGACTTTCAGCTGGGGCCAAGGAATTTGCATGAATGTTACTATTTCTGGCATGCCTAGAGACTTTTCTGGTATTGTCAAGAAGAAAGTGCTTTAAAGAAATGCACAGCCAAAGATGATTGAAGATCTGTGCTCACAATGTGTGATAAATTTGTCAGCAATTAATTTATTAATGAAAGTCATAATAAATAGAGGAAGCCTCTTAGGATATACAACTGGAAATCCCATAGGTATTTCAATTTCTTGAACACTTGGCTATGTGAACAGAATTTTCATTAAAATGCATGCATTTTTGTGCTGGTAATTCAGTCTGAAAAGAAAGCTGCTGGGTTTTTTCCTCTGTTCATACATGCCCTTGAAGTATTTTTGGCAGCAATACCAGGAAGACAGTCACTTCACCAGTGATTCTCAGTGCTGCATGGCTGAGGATGGGGAGTGTTTACGGTTCCTTAATGGCAGCATTGATTTTTAGCAATTTTTAAATAAAAAACAGAATGCTGTCACATCTCCCAGCTCAGGGAGCAAGTAATTCCTGTGGCTCACATGGTCCCTCTGATTAAGTGCTTCTTGCTGCTTTCAGGCAGCCATTTGCTGCCCTGCAGTGTTCTCTAATTCACACACACTTGTGTGCATCTCCATTTAATTTGTCTCTCCCCCACTCAGCCTGCTGTGCACCAGAATATGGAGGAGCAGATTTAACCTCACAGGGATCTGCTGTGGCCAGCATTTCATGGACAGAGGCCAAGACTATTGCTTACTCTGATAATTTTAGTAACAATACACCACAGAAACATTACCCAGTTTTTCAGCTCTAGACTGATCTTGATCAGGAAAAAACCCTCCATGTGTTGTGATTCGAATAGTCCTCAACCTCTTTTAGCACAAGCAGGGTTAAATATTGAAGGGATGTACTTTTCATTTTCTGTCATGGAAGTACAAGTGGTAACAGTGATGACTGTGTAACTCAGGAGGTGAAAAATGACCAACCAGTGATGAGCAAACACTGGCAGAAAACATAAATGCAGACACATAATTCACAGGCCAGACAGCAAGAGATAAGGCACTGCATACGAATCAGAATATGTGGGTGTGAGAGCAAGCAAGTGCTGAAGAAGAGAATCTGTCTGCTTCACTGAAAGTGCAATTACACAGAAAGCTCTTCTGACTGCATTTCATCAGTAAATACTACCCAGTGGCATAAAACTGGTAAAAAAACCCCAAAGAGATGTATGGAAATGGCAGGCTTACTTCCAGGCAAAATAAATTACAATGAGTCAAAAATACCAATATATAACATCTGCCTTACAAATAACTGGCTTTGTTCTTGTTTCTTTCAGAGAATGTTTAATTTTTGCTCAGACTTAGATGTTTTGTTCTGGTTTCAGCAGACCATTTGAACAAGACTGTGCTTTCTGGATATCAATCACCTAGGTATGTTGGCTGACTAAATGTACCTTAAATCAAGTAAAAATTGTGCTTCTTCCATTAATTAATACATTTCTTTTATTAATATCTGTTTTAAAAAATTACTGAAAAACAGAATACTGATATTTCTTGATGTTCATTAACACCCTATGCTGTAATAAGATACATGCCTCTGCTTAGTCATTTGGTAAAAGATCTTTATAGGCTGTGACTGCAGGTGTGACCTAAAGTAAGAGCAGTATCCCAGGTTCTCAGGACTTTTCTGGTTGGCTGCAAAGAAGAAAATGAGGATACTCCTTCCAAAGCTGTGTGAGAAAGAGGATGAGACCCAAAATGAAGAGAATTTGTTTCACCAAGAAGGAGCTTAAAAATTTTAAATTAAATGAAACATTATTTTTTAGAATTTTTCTCCTTTTTTTCACCAGGCTCTTAACGCCAGGTTTTAAGGTTGATCTCTGTGGTTCTGTGGCTTGGTATCAGCTTGTAAAGGCTGTTGTGAACCTCAGCTCTCCTAAGGTGTCTTTTCCTGCAGGATCAGCACTTAAGCCTAAAAGATCCTCTGACACTCAGGGGACCAGGACAAGGGTGAGAACCTCCTGCCTCTCCTGTCAAATGCTGGCTGTTCCCAGTTGTGTCAGGTTCAAGCTGACTGGATTTTCAGAAGTAACAAACTCAGATTACGCTTGATCCCCTTAGAAGAATTTTAGATTCAGACCAGCAAGGGTTCATTTTTCACCTCAGTCAGTACTTTTACCATTGGTTTGGTATTGCATGTCTACACTGCCCTATTTGTTTCAGTACTGGCTGCTATTTCCTTGTTAATGTGTTTCGTTTTTTAAAGAACATATTAAAAATATATATTTATTATGGATTAAGAATACTTGTTCTCCTAAAGTAACAAACAGACAAACAAAACATTTTACTTGCATGCCCAAAGCATTCAGTGAAAGACAATTTATGAGTAAAATGCATAAACATTTTTCATTGTTCCAACTGCTGAGCTCGGGGTCACTTCACAAAGTTTGTGGAAGTAGCTGATTTCACTCTAGATTCTTAAAGCCAGACTGGATTTCCTGCTTATCTGTTTACTTTAGCTGTCTTTAATGATCCAGCACATATGGCCTGATGCAGTAATACTGGGTTACAAGCCATCTTGGGTTTTTTGCTGGAGAAAGATTCAATTACTGTGACTGTTTCACTCAGCCCTTATAAAACTTGGCTGGAGTTTCCTACTGTCCTTCAGAAGAAACTGAATTCCTCTAGTGGAGGCTTTTCCATGCTTTTTCAAGTTTCAGGATGACCCCATACGAATATTTAGTTCCACGGGTTTTATTTGTGTTTTAAGTACCAATACAAGTCAGTGCATACACAAATGCATACACAAAACCTTCTCTGAAGGTTTTAAAAATTCATTGTTGTTATTGTTCTTCCCAGCTGGTGATACTTACCTTGTCTGGATCTAGTTTAGCCAAATGACAAAAACCCCCACACTCTTAAATGACAAGCTCTCCATCCAGAAGTCTCCTGGCTCAGTTTTCCAAATTATGTGCCTGAGCTATTCAATTTTTAGTAATGTGTCTAACGTTAGATTTTAAAAATTATTTGTAAATCAGGCAAAAGTGACTGAATGAAATATAAATATGATTTATAAAAATAGGAGTGTCCATCAGGATCTACTGTCTCGCATTAAACAATAATAATCAAGCTCCTAAGCTAATTTATTCTGCTCAGCTGGATTACTTTTAAAATCATACAGCCTGAAATACTTGTCAATTCTTCTCTTAATTTTTTGTAATCTGTACAATTTCCATTCTGTTTTGAGGATGAGGCTTCATTAAATAACTTTAATATTTTGCTTTTGCATGATATCTGTGCGAAACCTAGATTTATCTCTTAACGTGACTGAGTTGTAGTTCATACTCAAGTGGAAAACTATGTAGGCAATTAAATGGGGAGTGCATATTGTGTGGCCAAACTACTGGGGTAAGGGACATTTATGGCTTCATTTTCCCATGCTTGCATAGGCAATGTGAGAAGGTAGGTAATTTTCTAAGTGGATTTAGTCTGATGTGGTTAGATGTGAGATACTGGGTTAGGTGTGAGATACTGCAGATGGATGTAGGAAGTGGGCTTGTGTGTGGGACTGGTTATCCAGTCAAATTTCTCTTTCTGCATATGGAATATCCAGGCTGTAGGTGAGCAGGCATGTTTTGCTGTTTGGGAAACCAGGTCAGAATACGTGAGTGAAGTCCATAAAAACACTAAAATATCAAGTAAGTGATATTGTATTCTCTTTTCTCTTCTTCTTCCAGAACACTTGGTTCAATCTACCCCAAATAATTAAACACTCCCTTGGAAAGCCTTATCAGCCATCTAATCATAATTCTGTCATGAAATTATAGTATTCAGATTAGGAAACCTAAACATTTATTTAAAATTAAGAGGAAACTAGATATGATGGAATAAACAAACACTGTTAAACTAATTGCAAACTGGAATATATGTTTGACATTATGAAAATTACAACTGATATACAATTAATGACTGGAATAGTAACAATCTGATTTTACTCACTATGCAAAGTTTAATTTCCTATCTTGTAAATAACAAACCTCATAAACAAGCCAGCAGCTAGATTGATATAATTAATCAGTTTTAATTAATATGCTGGTGGTGGGTGAGTTTTAAACAATGAACATAGAAAATGCATAGAATTGGAAATGAAAAGGATCCATGTTTTCAGTACTAATGAAGAGTAATTTTTTTCCTTAGCAGGGCAAAGAAGCCTTGTGGAGGTCACTGGAGAGGAGCTGCATCTCAGTCAGCTCTGGCAGTGCTCCTGTGGCCAGTGTCATGGTCTCTGCTGCTCCATCTGCAAAGCCTCTGGTGCTGCTTCTTCCGCTGTGCCCCGTGTCACCAGGGAGCCCCAGGGCTGCTGTGTCACAGTGCTCAGTGTCCCTCTGCTGACTCACCACTGCCCTTGCAAAACTTCCACAAGGAATAAACCCTAGAGGGAAAAATGTTTGAGTTTTTTGTGTATTTGAGTTTTTTGGCATTTTTACCCAAGCCAAATAGTCCCAACTGTTGACCCTGGTCAGAGTGAGATTCCAGAAAGGAGCATTTGGAATGGTTTCCTTAGCAAAGCCATTATGACAGGGAAATCATGGAACCATTAGGTTGAGAAAGAACCTCAAGATCACCAAATCCAACCAATGACCCAGCACTGCCAAGTCCAGCACTAAAGCATGTCCCTAAGTGCCACATCTACACATCTTTTAAATACCTCCAGGGGTGGTAATGTCATTGGATGGCCAATTGAGACATCCCCTGAAATACTACTTCACTAACTGTTATCTCTACTAGTCACTGATGTGTACTATAAAGAATACAGGTTTCTGTTATTATTTGATTAAATTGATTTTTACATGTCAATATTCTGGTTGTCTCTGAAATCTCATATTTATTTCTTATTATATGTTTGATAAAGTGGTGGCTTTCTTTTCTTTGCTTTGGACTTTTGACATGTTTTAGGGGGAAATGCATCACCAAGATTTACCATGTTGGAGCCTTGAAGGACCAAATACTATTTGTGGGATGCACAATTATGGTGCTACCAGAAGAGATTCCATTTATGTTTTCCACACACTACTAAAAATGTTTTTAACAAAACATATTGTCACTGGACAAGAAAGTGGCATTAGCTTTTCTGACAGTTCTCCTTCTAGAAAGCTATTATAAATTTAAGATATTGTAGTACAACCTCTTGTTGCTTTTAACCTAAATTGATTAAAAATTTAACCTAAAAGCAACAAGAGGTTGCAAGAAAAAGGCTGCAAGGCCCCCCCCCCCAAAAAAAAAAATCTCCATAGACTGATGCCTTTCATTATCAGGAAAAACCGACTTTCATGTGAATTCTTAATTAATGCTTCAAATAATCTTTGAGCATTTCACAGTGTTCCACCCATTTTTTTTGGAACCCCTAATCCTGATCAGTCAATATATATGAATTTCAGCCCAAGCCATCTTGACCAAAAGGCCATTTAATCATTTTACTCTATTAAATATAATTTTAAGAAAATGAAACACTCCCTATAGCACACTTCCATTTAAACAAAGCCCTAATAAAGCAGAGAGAGGGAGAACAAAGGCAGCTGGGAAGGTTCAGGATGCAGACTTAATCTGCTTTCTGGTGCCTAAGGCCTGGCTGCTCTCTTGTGTAAGTGATTGTGTGAGCTCCTGAGCTAAATGTAGCCCTGACTACACTTAATGAACCTTAAGAGTGCAATCAAAAAGACAAATATGGTATGTCTGAAAATGTGAGGGTTTTTTCTTCTTTGAAGACCTTTGGAGTCCTCTTCTTCATCTTGATAAAAGCACTATTATTCCCAGCAGTGTTTGCCACTGAAACTGTGTTCCAGCCTGATATTGAAACCACAAAAATCTGAGTAATCACCCTGTTTTATTCTTTACATTGACCAGTGTCTCTACTATGGCGTCACTGAAGGAAAAGGAAACAATATTCTGAAGACTCTAACATAGGTTAATTTAACATAATCTCTGGCTTCAGCCTACAGTACTTGTGAGAAAAATATATTAATATGGGACTTTACTGTTCTCAGAGTAGCCTTTGTCAGGAGTTTGAAATGTCTGAAACAAGATATTTAAAGAATCCTTAAAAGTGTGTTTCAGTCTTCTGATCGTTCTTCATTTTTTAGAGCTTTTCTGAGAAAAAATCAGCCTTCACTTCTGAAGAAGTAAGAAACCAGTCACATTTCTGAGAAACTGCATTTCTTCTCTTGTAAACTACCCCCTGGCTGTAGTTGATACTATGCTCTGTTGGATTTTGCATCTTTGGCTCTGAACACAGTGATCAGTATCTATGGACCTATTTTACAAAATTAATTTCAGCAAGGAAAAGAACAGCATATTTGGGTTTAAAAAGACCTTTTACATTCTTCCCTTTTCTACCTCCTGTAAGCACAAGTTCATTTCTACAGTACACTCCTTGCTCCATAAATCTTTGCTTAAAAATCTAGGGCTTTACATCTCTGAGAAAACTGCAGCAGAGCAACACTTTTTCCTTACACATTTTCCTGAGTCAAAATTTCTTCCTAATCAGCTGTGCACATTGATATGCTGTTCTACTTTACTATCTTCTGTTTCTGTTCTTTGCAAGGACCAAGAGGTTTTTACAAAACTTTTCCTTTAGTAACTATTTTCAGCTCTTAACCTGTGTGGTCCCCAAAAGCAGTGAAAATACAGACTCCATTTTTATTTACTTTTCATATTTTTTTAAGAAACACAGCACCACTATGCTTTCTTATTCACAAAAAACATCTTTAATATGTCACAAATATTATGACCACAACTTTTTAAGCAACTCTCATGTACATATTCCAGTTTCTTCTGAATGCAGAAATACTTGCTTCTGCCAAACTACACTTTCTTTGTGAAATGTCACATTGATGCTTTCATAGAGTAATTTATCCAGCTTTCTCTGATAATTTTCACATGTTCATATGTATATACTTGCCACAAATTCTGTTCTTGGGGTTCATCATGTCTGGGTTTATACATACTGGCAATAAACTAAAATTTTACTGCTTCTGGAGACTTAGATCAGGTTTTTTAGTAATTTGCTGTGATCTTCCCTCTATAGGCATATAGAAGTGCTGTGAAAATGGGTCTACAATGGTCTTTTAAATCAAATGGATTGATGGTTCATCAACCTGAAAGTATAGATAGGTGTAAGTATGCCAGTGCAAAAACAACATTGAAAATTGGGACAAATTTTGAATATCTCAGAACAGTAATTTTTGTTAGACATATCTTTATTTACAAATAAAAAACAGTCTTTAAATCTTAAAGGATTAAACAGTCTGAGTTTCTGCCTTTATTGATTTCATCTATAGTCTTCTGTCATATGCTTTGAAATACTGACTGCAGCATTTGCAGAGTAACTGTGCCACTGAGGGAGCACTCACTGAGCCTGATTTCCCAGAATGGTTGTAGGCAAAAGTCTTTCTTATTTTCACAAGTAGACCCTCATGAGTGTGTGCACAGACTACCCCAATGTGGCCACAGAGGCAGCATTCATAGTGCCAGTCAGTGCAGCACTACCAAAGCATTTGGAGAGCAAATGAATGTGCACTAAGGTCTGACACTAACACCAGATGGACTTCAGGGGAAGTTTCCTTTACAACTTTGCAGGCTGTGGATCAAATATTTTAGAGAAGGAGAATATTTTGGGGCCCCACTCCACGTTTGGTTTCATCTGAAAGAAATTTCATGTGGGTGTTCAGAGCCTGGTCCCTGTGTGAATGTAACTGATAAGTGAGGATGATCAGAAAATTCATCTCAGAAGTGCACTCCTGAATTGAAGTAAGACTGAAATCAGGACATCCAGAGCTAGTCAAGCATCCAATTGTTCTCTTCAGCATACTTGTTATACCCTATTCAGGAGCATAATGAGTCACAAAAGCAAAATATTCCAATGCCTGTTTGCTTTACTTTGCCATATGTGGGGTTTGGAGGTTTTTTGTTTCTGTTAATTGGTTGGCTTTTTTTTTTAAATTACATATTCTCCAGTGTCTTGTCTTATATAGAAGAAAAGGGAAATGCCCTAAGGGACCTAGATTGCTATTGTGATCAGCCAAATTTCTGGATGAGTGCTTTGAAAAATGGCTCTTCCATACTAAAACAATGGCTGTACTCCTCAGCAATACTGTGCAATCCATCAATTCTGCATAGGTTTATAGGTTGAAAAGAAGTCTAGAGAGAAAGAGCAAACAGAAGAGGAGGACTCTAACTAGGCAATAAATGTTATTAAGTCCCTTTAGTTGTCACAATTTGAAATGTGCAGCGTGAGATGTGTCATTTAGTCACACATGCACTGTCAGAGTACCCTCAGGGAGCATTTGTCTGGCATTGAAAGTTACCTTTGCAATTCTGCTCTGAGAGAGGAAGAAAAGGCTGAGCCAGATGGGGAGCTTAAAGCCTTTGCCAAATCATCACCAACCTCAGAGGATTTTTTTTTTTTTTGGTAGGAAAAAGGAGAAGAAAACAAGGGACAACAGGATACTCACAGAGGTACTTTGCATGTTTTAGAGTGGATTTTGTACTTTAAATTAGGCTTGTCTTTTCAATCATGGTTTATAGGAACTAGCAGAGTACTAACTCCTACTTGGTTTCTCTTCCTTTTAGCTAAAGGAAAAGAAAGCAATTTTCATACCACAGTTTTTGAATTTAAAACCAGCACAGGCTGGTTTTCCTCAAATTTAATGAAGTGCCAATCAAAAAATCATTCAAGCTTTGTCCCACTGAGTATATGCTTCAGTCTTATCCTAAATTATGGCAAATAAATTGTGGTGTTCAAAACTCTGCATATCATTACACGTGCTTTTTATGATAATAATAGACCTTCCCAATGACACAGCATCTTTTCTATCTTAGCAATGAATATTATGTGGGAAGTTCATAAAATTATAATTTGATTTTAATTATAACAGCACAATACATTGTAAATCCCCTAGAATCTTTTTAAAGCCAGACAAATATCCTTTGCATACAGAGTTATTCTTTTTTATGATCTTAAAGAGTCCCTAGAAGTATAAGAAAATCCAACCAAAAAAGGCCTAAAAAATACGAAGTCTCGCTATTGGCACAATGAATTTTAGGCTCAGTCATGAGCTATCTTTTTGAGTGCTCACCTTTGCAAAGAAGGCACAGTGTGCAAGGTAATCAGTGCTGAGTTTCTCAGCTGTTCTCTAGCTGGCCTCGCAGGAGAAATAGAACTTCTGAAAATGTCCTGATTTTTCCCCTATAAATACCAGAGATACGATAGAAAGTTAGTTCTATAGAGACATATCTGAGCCTTTGCATTCTGACTCTTTGGCAGACAATACTTGAACTTCAAAGTCTACAGTGACTCATAAAAATAGGTTTTAAAAAGGAGGAATCTTTCTTAATTGAAACAAATGTAATCAAAAATTAGAAAGTCTCACTGCCTTCAATAGACTGTGTTGATCAGGATTCACTAAGTCAAGAAACAAAGATAATATTCTGCTTTTCCTGTGGCTTCTCTCCCCTGGAGGACCCTGGGTCATTTTTGTTTTGCATCTGTTTTGCTAGCATTTAGTCCAATTATAACACCTGTGCTCAGTTCTCCAAACACCATGAAGCAATGTCAGAAAAAAGAATGCAGACTATATAAGATTGATAGAATTGTTGCTGGAGATGTATTTACAGAGGCTTTGAGATTTCACCTGAAATCCCTCTAGGGTACTGTTTGGTACAGCTTGGCCATAGCCTCCTTGTGTCTTTCTCAAGCTTTCAGCATTAAATTTTACAGCAAACTAACAAACACATACCCAGAGTATCTCCACTGTCACATCTCTCCAGAATGACAGACCATGCAAGCTGGATAGTTAATATTTTGCATGAATTAAATTATGTCTAAAAACCTATTATCTGGAACTCTGATGATCTTTGCTATTCATAACTTAAAGAGTAGTACAGAATTCAGAACTCAGTTCAGAAATCTTGAGATTATGACTTTACTTCTTCTGTACCCTACCATTTCCACTAACATGTCTAGAAATAGTCTAATATAAACTTTAGAAATTATAATCTTGATGTCTTATGTAATTGCAATGCACAAACCCACATGTTCAGTAAGATCAGAATCAGGACCTTTATTTTTCCAAAGCAAGCGAAATCTTGGTGCAAATAACACAAAGGTACAAAAATAAAAATATATAAATATTTGTATTCTTTGTCCTACTATGTATGTAGTGCCATTGTGTCATTCTTTTCCCAGTCCAGTCCAGCATGCAGGCTTCTTGCATTCAGGCTCAGCTACAGTCAGGAGTAAAGTCACTTTCTGTGGCAGCTTTATCATAGTGGTGACATGTTAGGAGTGAAGATGCGTGCAGGAAAGAGAACTGAATTTAGGGTATGGGGCTGCCTCTATTATCAGCACACTTAGCATGGCCCCGTATCCAGGGCTTATGGACTACCCATTGTCATTTAATGTGTTACATTGGTAGTATTTTAGACCCTATCCATGCCAAAAACTCCCTGTTCAGATACAGAAAGATATAGCACACAGTGTGGGAAGGAAAAAAGGGTTCAGTGGTTTGGGTGTGAATCGTGGTGTTGCTTGCATTTCATTAACTGTAGTAGGTGCAGCCCCAGTCTTTATATTCAGCCCTCTGAGTGTTGTGTTCTACTGAGGAGGAGTCAGATATGATGAGATGTTGACAGATGTGATTGGTTTTAGTCATAGATTTTATTGGGAAGGAGCTGCAAGAAACAAGATATTAAAGTTCATAAACAACAATTTATAAAATCCATTAACTGTTGTTATTTTTACTACAGAAACAGCAGAGCTCTTCTGGAGACTGGAAACACCTTCAATTTTGAACTTGAGACCAGAGGAGGACAAGTATATTGATTTTTTTTTTTCATAATTGTAGTACACTTTCATATTACCCACTCTGATAGCTCCATCAGGTTGGAGCTTGATTACCTTTTTCTTAAGACAAAATAATTTGCCTACACTTTTCAATAAGTTTGTGAATATGAAGTAACTTTGATGAAAAAGAAAAAAAAATTAAAGATAATTAATTTTGTATTATAAAACTGTGGGTTACCTTGATCTTTTTAACATACTCATAGAATCATAAGATTTTTTGGGTTGAATGGGATCTTTAAAGGTCAGGTAATCTAAACCCCCTGCAGTGAGCAGTACAAATAAACACTAACATACCAACACTAGCAACATGCTTTGGATCCTCCTAATTTTTGATGACTAGCGAGGAGTGTATACCATTGACAGTAGCCAAAAGATTCCTGACTCATTTTCCCTGGTTAAATTCTCTAACAATAATAACATATATTGAACAAACACATTCAAAGAATATTCCCAGTGCATACAGGTTCCATTGAAATTTCTCTAAATGTTTCCTAGCAGAACTCTTTGATTTGTGTTCTTGATCAAGATCAAAAGCATGATGTTTCCTTTTGAATTGTAAAACTCTGAATACCATTAAAATGCATTTTCATATGAGACCAAACATCAGGGTTTTCTTCTCTCAACCTCATTCTCAGAAATGGTTGAAATACAAAAACTGAAATATTAGGATACAATTCAAGGTACAATTCAAGTAATGAGTGGAATAGAAAACTTTCATGTAAAACTGTTGACAGTTAGAAAAGTTCTAAGGAATTGGAAGTAAAGCCTTTGCACATGAAGCAGTTCTTTTCAAGTTTGTCGCGGACAGTTTTGTCCATAGATAGTGATGCACAAGACATTTTTATTTTTGTCAAGTATCTCATACTTGACAATATCTGAATACTTGCTGAATTGTTGGTAAAATTCCCATCATCAAGTTGGTTAGAAACTGCCTAGAGCTATTTGTTCTCTTGGGTTATGTTACTAATTTTATTATGTATTACTTTCATAAAAACAACTAAGCTCCAAGCCAGGGGTCTGTAGATATGGCCAAGAACTCACACACTTTGCTCAAACAACTTGCAGTCTCACATGAAACAGGTCCCAACAAGCCATGGGAACAATAGTCGGCAGTGATCAAACTGCACATGTCAGTGAGCACAACAGCACTATGAATATGCTTTCATGCTGCCCCGGCTCTGTCTCTCTGCCAGCAATTGATCTCAGTGACACAAGTTCAGACTTAGAGCGTGTAACTTGGGAGTGCTAAATCACTGAAGATTGTTTTAGAGGCACATAAATCGAATGTGTGTGTGTCCATCAATAGATGCAGGGGCATGCTGTGTCTCAGGTGCTTCCTGAGCTGCCTTTGGTGTGGCAGTGCTGGCAGGAGGCAGGGGAGCAGCCCCAGCTCCTTGGCTGCAAGCGCAGGAGGGCGAGGCTGCAAAGGCTCTGCCATCAGCAGTTCCCAGGCTTTGGACATAGCTCAGAAACAGAGACTTGTTTATAGCTCAGACTTAAAAGCGTTTATACAGGCTGTCTGAAGTTGCTGAGGATTCTCAAATTTTCCTGCAATAGCTGTTGTCACAGTGACTTCAAGTAAAACTGTCCCATGGGTAATAGCTAGATCCTCATTCCTCAAAATATTTGTATCTATGTATTCGGCTACCTTAAAACAAAATGTGCAATGAGTAAATGATAAACTTTTATACGGAGAAATTAATGACCCATATGTGTTCCTTTAGTGATGTTGCAATCTACTTGCTCTGTAATTAAGATTCAGCACAGCAGGGATTACTATTAAGACAAATCAGTTTCCTGAGGAGTAAAGACAAAATTATTCTTTTGGCTTGTGGCCCTGATGTTACATATGAACTTTGTCCTCGCAGAAGGCTTATACTCTTCCCGGCAATACCCACGCTGCTTGATCAAAGGTGACTTTGAAATTTAGTGAACATCTGCTATGCAGGCTCATGATTTGTCACATTGGGCATGGTCTTGCTCTGATAAGATCAGAATTCTTGGAAAAAATAGCAGCAATGGAGATTTGAAATAACATTTGTCAAATTCTCCAAATGAAGCAAGCTTGGGGTGGACCAGAATAATGAATGGGATATATTCAAAGCTTACTTAAGTAATACCTGTGTTGAAAATCACAAGTCATTCCTATATGGTCTTGTTTACTGTGATTCCTAGAAAATTGTGGACCAGAATAATGAATAGGATATCTTCAAAGCTTACTTAAGTAATACCTGCATTGAAAATCAGAAGTCATTCCTGTATGGTCTTGTTTACTGTGATTCCTAGAAAATTGTGATTGCATACAGTCATGGTGACTGACCTAAGTTCTTCTGGTATCAGAACTGAAGTTAGTGTAGATCTTTAGATCAGCACAATGGCTAAGGGAAATGCTGCCAGAGATTCTTGACTCAATGAGAATTAAACAGAGGCACTTTTGCTCATTGCCGCAATTGTAACCCAGAGTGCCTCAACTTACAATAAGACAGGTTCTGAAACTGTCTCATTTCACTTTCTGCAGATGTGTTTTCTTCCCCAGGTCTATAAGAAAATCTAAGTAATGGATTATTTGTTTGTTTTTATTGCCTGTGGACCAGCAAGTCTGGGGAAAACCATCATAGAAACAGAGTAAGTTTTAGGGTCAGTTACAGATATGGAAGAGTTTTATGGGGGCAGGCATGCTAAACACAAGAGGTTGCCAAATACTAGATCAGGCAATAACATGATTTTTCACACAATCCCAGAAAGGGTAAAGTTGGAAGGGACCTGGGTCATGTGATCCAACCTTCCTGTTCAAGCAGGGTCTTCATAGAGTGAGTTGTACAGGATTGTGTCCACACTGCTCTTGGATATCTCCAGGGAGGGAGACTCCGCAACCTCTCTGGGCAATCTGTTCCTGTGTGTGGTCACTGCACAGTAAAGAAGTTCCTTCCTCATGTTCAGGTGGAACTTTCTGTGCATCAGTTTCTGCCCATTGCCTCTTGTCCTATTGCTTGGCACCACTGAGCAGAGCCTGGCTCCATCCTCCTGACAGCCTCCCTTCAGACATGGACAGACATTGATGGGTTTACCTCTCAGTTGTTTCTTCTCAAGGCTGAACAGGCTTAACTCTCTCAAACTATTCTCTCATAAGAGAGATGCTCTGTTGGAGATTTTTTCAGAGATGGCTTAGAAGACAGCTGTGAGGAGCAGATTCTCACAGCCTGTTTCTGTGAACAGCAGAGGTTCTCAGGTTATTTTTAATTACAGGTAAAAGTGACAAACATGAAGGCCTTGAGAGCCTTGCACACCAGAGTTCTCAGGCAGCTTTCTCATAACAAGTGGATGTTCCATCTTTGGCTGTTTTGGGAAAGCAAGAATAATTTTGAGAACCCAAATCTTGGTATTGGAAACATAAGGAGGGGTTGGTATGTTATCTCTGACCTATTGTGAGCTCAGATTTTGCAATACGCATGAACTTGATTAACACTGTTATAAAAGGTGTCTGATTGATCAATAAATCGGAGTCGATGGCTGACCAATGCAAGGTGGGTCGTCTCCCCTCCGACTTCAATAATGCTCCAGTCCCCCTGTCATCCCCCAGTAGCCCTCTGCTGGACCTGCTCCAGGAGCTCCATGTCTCTCTTTTTCTGGGGAGCCCAGAACTGCACACAGGGCTGGACAGAGGGGCGGGATTGCCTCCCTCAACCTGCTGGCAGTGCTCTTCCTTATGCACCCCAGGATACCACTGGCCTTCTTGGCCACAAGGGCAATACTGGCTCACTGCAGCTTGTTGTTGGCCAAAACCCCTGGGCCTTTTTTGGCAGAGTTGCTTCCCAGCAGGTCAGCCTCCAGCCTGTGTTGGTGCATTGGATTATTCCTGCCCTGGGAAAGAACCCTACACTCACCTTTGTTGCATTTTGTTAGGTTCTTCTCCAACCATGTCTTCAGCTTGTTGTCCAGGTCTTGTACCTGGCTGCACAGCACTCAGGTATTTGTCTCTCCTCCCAGCTTTGTATCATAAGCAAACTTATTGAGGAGCCACTCAATCCATCCCATTGTTCAAGTCACTGGTGAACAAGTTAAACTATTTAGCTTACTTTCTGTGTGATGCCTGAATCATTTACCACATTCCTTATCTTCAAGCCCAAAACATCATGAACTATCATTATATGTAAATTATCATATCTATACATCACCATTTATATATATATAATTCATATATAATATATTTACATATTACTTTGGGTTTGTGAAGCATGGAAGATCTTGCATAGTATCAATTGTTACTGTGGCAGATGGCCCTGGGTCTGCCAGATTTGTTGAGACACTGTAATTCCTTTGGTGAAACACTAGGAATGCCAGCTAAGGCACAGAAGGAGATGAGAGGGCAATTACATTTATAAGAGCACCTGATTTTTATTGATCCATGAATAAATGACTCTCTGTCTTGGCCCTGGTTTAAAGATGCAATAGATTACTATGAAAGTGAACAAATAAATAATTTTTTTCCTAAATAAAAACTATACTAGTTTATATAGTACTCTTACAAGGAGCAAACTGTGATTTCCCATCCAATTTCTTTGATTTTTGTTTTGTTTTGTAGTATTTTTTCCTTTATATAAAAAGCTCCCTGTGATTATGTGATGAAAAAATAATTCACCCATTTTTATGCTGCCCTGTGTTAACAGAAGCACTTACCTCATATCTTGACAGTTTCTCAATCTGGAACATGGTATTGGCTGTGATCTCACAGGCACATGCTGAATTAAGTTATCATTGTCCTGCCACTTTGCAAGCAATTTGGTTTGTGTGTTTTGGCAGTGTCCACCTTGTTTCTCTGTTTGATTTACTGGGAAATAGTCTCACATTGAAAAATTTTTTTTTATTAGGTGAGAGCATTTCTTCTCTCTCATATTATTTTTTCTCTCCATCCTATATTAGTTCACTGAAGAGAACAAGCAGGTAAGTCTGTCTTGTCCAAGATAGAATTTCTGTAACTCATGCTGCAAGGATACCCTTTATCAGCATTTGCATCCAGGGGAAGAAAACATAGCAGTGCTTGACTTTGCTGCAAAAAGAAATAGAGGTTTGAGTGTCATGAGCAGTTCACACCACCACCTCAGTAAATACCAGTGCTATTAGAAGAAAATAATACTCAGATTTAAGTGTCCCATTGCCTTAAAGAGGTTTACGCTTGGGTGAAAGACCCTCAGGAAGAGGCAGGTAGAGGCTGGCTATAGCAGGAGACAAAATTTGTACTTTGCCAAGCCAGGCATGTGTTCCTTTCCTTTTCTCATGACCTTCTCTAGCTGTTGCTTTGCTATTCATCACAAAATAGTTCCCAGTTATGACTCAAACATCTTGTTGAAATACATCAAAGAATATTTTATCCCAGACATGAGCACATATCTCATTTATGTGGTGGGTTTTAAACTATTCCTCAAGCTCTTCTTATGGAGGGCTTTGTTTCTCTGTCACAGAAATTGTTTATTTCCCTAGTTCTCAGGACAGGAAAAAGCCCTCTTAAAAATGCACTTATCTGTTTCCAGCCCCAGTTCTGGCTGGCTTGGATATATCAGTTTTCTACTTAAAGAAAGACTATGACATTTTCAGAAGGAATTCATTCTCAGTTAAATAAGACTTGAAAATAGGACAGACTTGCATCTCTCATCTTGTTCTTGGTGGGAAAAGGCTTTTGCAGTCTGTGCAGGTGTCTTGCATAGTTTGGCTGTCCAGTGTTGCTTATGACATATCTGTTAGCCAAAAAAAGGTCAAAACAAGTATAATTTGGTTTTGCAATTGCCTATGAAAAGCTTAACAAATATTT